TGTTCCAGACATACAGTACCCGGGCGTTTACAAACTCAAGTGCCTCTGTGGTAGTAGCTACATTGGAGAAACCAAACGACATATCTCGGACCGCATCCGCGAACATACAGCAGACTTGAAACACGGTAGAACGAACTCCTCTGCCGTGGCAGATCACTGTTATAATTCAGTGGGCTCACATGACATTGACTTCTCCAAGACGGAGGTTCTTTGCAAACCAACCGGCTACCATGAGATTCGTTCATGAGATCATTCACATATACAAGCACAGAGACAATTTCAACCGAGAAGATGGATTCTGGCTTAGTAACCATTGGAAAGATGTTTTAAACCATTTCTGTTCTTAATTAATTGTATTTTACGATGACCTTCAGACCGCAGCTCTTTCGCCAGCATTGACTCTTAATACCTCTCACACCACGGTTAATGGTATGGTTTACAACATGGAGTATAATAGCGCCTCGCAGCTGTCTCTCTCCCCCTCCTCTGTTCCGACCATGGATGAACTCGTCCGTCTGAACGGGGCCCGTAGCTATCCGTGTTGCTAAAGTTGAGGGTAAGAATCCACCCATTTTTTCGCCATATAGCATTGTGATATATAACGACTTATTGTTGGTAGCCTAGCTGATTGGAGAATATAGAGTTTATTGATAACATTAAGGTAATTTATATTTTAGTTTTTTATTGGTTCACTATATAGTACTGTGAATAGCTCAGATGTGTAGGCCTTGACTTCAACATAGCCATTTTTGTGACCAGTCACTAGCTAATCACTCAGTTATTTCAATGCTAAATTCGCCTAGTTATTTCAATGCTAAATTCTCCTGTTTGATTTGTACTAAGTGCCTCGGTGAATGTGTATGCTCTGACTTTAACATAGCTATTTCTGTGGCCAGTTACAAGCTAATCACTCAGCTATTTCAATGCTAAATTCTATGCTAATTCCTTTGTCAAGGGGTGCCTCTGCGGATGTGTATGCTTTAACTTAGCTATTTCAATGCGAAATTCTATGCTAATTCCTTTGTCAAGGGGTGCCTCTGCGGATGTGTATGCTTTAACTTTTAACATAGCCATTTCTGTGACCAGTCACAAGCTAATCACTCAGCCATTTCAATGCTAAATTATATGCTAATTCCTTTGTCAAGGCGCTTTGTTTCCTCTCACACAGCTTAAAGGTCGTGATCTGAACGTGGCTTTTTCACTCCAGCCCTGTCCTACCAGACAGTCTCGTCCCTTCACCTGATGAAGGCCGCTTGTGTTGTGGCCGAAACGTCGTGAGAATATTATTGTGTTATTTTATTTTATCATTTTATTATTTTATTCTCATTCTACGTGACTTTACCGAAAGAACCAAAGAAGAAGAAGGATTCATGTGTACATTAACCACAATACCTGCAGTCAAAATGCAAACAAAAATCATACTATGATAATAGATGCATTGTCCTTGAAACTGATTGGTCCACACCAAGGGACGGCTTTATTTTGAGCCTCGACCCAATTGGTGCTCGACCAGATGACGCCAGAAGCCTCGACCCAATTGGTCGAGCACTAATTGGGTCGAGGCTCAAAAGAAAGCCGTCCATTGATGTGGACCAATCAGTTTCAAGGACAATGCACATATTATCAAAGTATTTTTTTTGCATTTTGACTGCAGGTATTGTGATTAATGCAGACATGAATCCTTGTAAAAGGTTTCAGTTTTGTTGCCAGAAAAAAGGGGAAAAACCCTATTATTATTATTAATCGTTGTTTTTCATTGGAACCTGTCATTGTGTGTATAGATTCACTCGTGCTGCTGTGGACCGACGGTTCGCACCGTGGACACAGTTTGCTATCTGGATGTCACCGATTTGATTCGATCTCCAGGCTCAACCATTTCTCAACTTCCCACCCCACCACTGCCTCAGTACACCCAACAGTATCAATGGCGACACCACTAAACTAAAAAAAAAAAACTATAGCTATTTTTATTGTATTTTACCCTATAGCTCAGTTGAGCCTTACCTAATACAATCTAAAATAGTTTTTTTGTTTAGTTTAGACCTGGCGATAAATGATAGCTCAACAAAGTGGCTTATCGTGTGGAAATGTATACCAGCCAAGTACTCTAAACGCATGTTTCTAAATGTTGGAGGGAAAACCCGGAGGACCCGGAGAAAAATCCGCATGACCACAGGGGGAACGTGTAAACTCCCAATATGCGGGTGTCAGGGTCAGGATCGACCTCCTGTATATCAGGCGAGGCAGTTAACATCTCACCACCGTGGCACCCCTAAGTCCATCATGGACGACAGTTAATGATCGGAAGTTCCGCTTGCAGTGGGGTAAGGTGTGGGTGACTGCCACCTCCTCCAAGACGTCTAAGCCAGCCTGGAAGAGTAGGCCAAATTACCCCCCCCCCCCCCCCTAGGAGGGGTCTCTTGAGCTTCCTTTCGTGGAGGCATTTCCACGAACAGTGTCGTGAGAAAGTAAATGCAAGGCAAAGTCGTTACCTTTAAGGACAACTTCACTGAAACAGAAACGTGACATATCTACAATTAATACAGTAAATTTCGATTTAAAGCTTTCGTGACTGCAAGGATTCATCTTCTTTGGTTCTTTCAGTAAAGTCACGTAGAATGAGAATAAAATAACAATAAAATTCTCTAACACAATAACATTCTCACGACGTTTCGGCCACGGCCGCCTGCGTTGTGGCCGAAACGTCGTGAGAATTTTATTTGTGTTATTTGATTATTTTATTCTCATTCTACGTGACTTTACCGAAAGAACCAAAGAAGAATTAATACAGTACTTTAACTCGGTCCAACACAAACACATTTCTCAGAAACCTAGAAACTCTAAGAGAGTTATGGACTACAGGGGGTCCGCCATCAGATGGCTTATTGGCACGTCCGTTGCACGCGTAATTTGAAAGTAAGCATGCTGCAGCCGTGTGGGCCAATTGCTGTCGACTCCTCTGCCCTCTCAAGCGTCCGCTGCGGCAACGGCGTCGCCAGTTAGTTACTACAGGCAGGGCCCGCCCTCGTGTAGAATAGAATCGTTAATTATTTCAGCGTGGAGCTGTCCCGTGGGGCTAAATGCGGTGTGGAGTTGGTGGTCGAAGGGAGGGGAGATTCCCAGATACGATCCATCAGAAATGAACATCTGCTCACAGAATGCATGCTTGCTTATTCGGAGGCAAAACCTAACTTGATGTGCTTGTGCGCTAGTCTCCATTTGCCTGTGGTCAGTTAGCCAGATGACCAGATGGAGACGCGGTTGTTTGCAGATTTGTACGTTGGTCAGAAGCAAACGCGGCTTTTTTTATCTGGAGCAAAGTAAGGACATTGTGGGAACTCAACGGTGGATTAAATCGCTCCAGTTTAATAATAATATACAGCCCTTGGACACTGCTGGAAGATGAAGGCCTTCCCACACTCTATTATAACGTGGGTTGTTTGACCATCTTCAGCGTGATTGTCAGTGCACCTTGATGAAGGCGGTGGGTAGGTGGGCAGCTGCAGTTTAGATCTCACCCACTGCTGACTTTAGCCGTGACTAGATATATAACTGGGGTTGCCTGGTTCTTAGTGCAGGACACAACCGCTGCACCTGTCGGGGCCGTTGTCCCCCGATTCCTCCGTCGTGACCGAGCTACTGCTCCCCGACTGCTCTGTCGGGTTCGGTTCATTCTACGTGACTTTACCGAAAGAACCAAAGAAGATGAATCATTGCAGTCACGAAAGCTTTAAATCGAAACATGAATCCTTGTAAAAAGGTTTCAGTTTTGTTGCCAGAAAAAAGGGGAAAACCCTATTATTACATTTTGGTATTGGCAAATGAGGTCTAATGATGTAGATGAACAACGATTAAACTACGACTACTATTGACCGTTGCTAACTCTTTTGATTTTAACAGGTAAGGCCCACTGAACTATATAGCACTTTTTTCAGAAGCCACCTTGCCGCAAATGATAGCTCACCGAAGTGGCTTATCATCACGTGGAAATTTATAGCAGGCAAAAATAACTCTAAGCACGTGTCGATTGTAAATGTGGAGAGAAAAAGCGGAGGGCCCGGAAAAAAATCCACGCGACCACGGGGAGAGAGACACACAAACTCCAAATAGACAATGAAAAGTAAAAATAGGCCTTTTCACTGCCAAGGAGAAGATAGCCGTTAACTGGAACGCTGAGATCTTCATTTCCTGCTAAGCGACGGTGATAACCTGTTTATTTTCAGTGTAGAAATTAGTTTGCTTTATGATCAATTATGAAACAAAAAACCGACTAGGCTACGTTGCACACAGCAACAGCTCTAAAAAGGTACAGCTATCACGGGGAACGTGAACCGGAATATTTCTACGAAGATCAATAAGGCGTAAGTAATTTCGTTGGTTTTTTTGTTGTGATATTACAGTATATGTTTCAATTTCCAATGAGAATGCCTCGCTCTACCCCCCCCCCCCACCCCCTTCTGATACGTTTTAAAAGGAAACGGCAGGAAACCACCGGTTTGAATGAATATTAAAGAATATCAGCCACGATGTAGAATTGATTTCGTCAGCACGCCAGTCTTTGGAAATCCGACAATAAGTTTTCCCAGCCCCAGATCCACTGCCATTCTCGTACCGGGTAACCTCATCAAGAAAGTCTAAACGCGCCAGTGAATTCATCCGATAAGATACCGACTTTAGAATCGAGGCACGCATTTCACTGCCATTTATTTCGCCTTCACCACCCCACCTCCCTCACCTCCAATGCTTCTTTAGTCTCAAGAGTATGTGACTGGCACCCATTTACCAAAAATTGACGTAACCCAACGTCTGTTCGTGCGGATCGGATGGCACGGGAGAGGGACAGCCGCAGCTGAGCAATGTTTGCACTGAACAATCCCGACGATGAAGGGGTCTGCCCTCGGGGGGTTGCAAGAGCCTGTGGGAGTCTGCCCTCGGGGCCTGAGAAGCGGGATCGCCGCTGCTCAACCTACGCACAACAGTCGAAACGAGCGCAGGCGACGTCAGCTCTTCCCGAGAGATGTTTTATTTCGGACAGCTCTTTAAGTGCATAAACGTTGTTTCCCTTCGCTGCTGTCAGAATGACTGATGTGTATGCAAATTGAAATGCGTCGTGACGCCACTTCACGATCCATTACCGTACCGTCAATCAATTTCCATTTCAAAACGGACAGAAAACGGAAGATTTTGTAAAAGAGAAACACATCACCTGGACAATTTCATGATGATAATCATACAAAATCTAATTAATAACATTGTTTTTCACTTGTACACAACATCAATTACAAGTATATGCTTGCAAACAATGAATAAGAACAGGCACAACACACCCTTAGTGATCACGTTAGAAAGAGTAACAAGTTGTATTATTTAAAAATGTAATTGTGATAATTAAGTAAAAATAACATGGCTCTCGTCTTTGTCGCCAGAGGGCTGGGTAATGGCTGTATGTAGACGCCAGGCCCACATTTCGTTGAACCTGCAGTTTACAATGACGTATAGAAATACCATGAATGAGCCACACCGAGTCACAAGGCTCTTTATTCAGGAGGTCCTGCCATGAATGAGTGGCGTGTGGAAGGAGACCAGGGATCATTGAGAAGCCAGTCTGCGAATCCACCTCCCAGCTACAGCCGACAGCACCTGGTATCCCCTGACAGTCTCACATATATCAAGGGTCATTCCTTGTGACCCTTAAATTATATAACGGTTATGTTAATGCGGTGACCTTTCTGCGTTTTGTATTCTGCCATCACGTAAGCCAAGGCCTTTGCGAGCAGAACGTGCTTTTATTATTTCCGTTAAAGTGGAATAATACCGGCTTATCGCCTTGTGGATAGTGTTAATGCCTGAGAATTTTTTTAAAAAAACACGCAAACACGTGGCTTAGAGACATTTGAAAGTCTTTTATGTTTGTGCATTATAAGTCAAATGTTAAAGATCAACTTGAGAGAAGGAAAAAATTACCTCCGCTAGAGGGAGCTCTAAAGAGCCCTCCTCCAGAGGGCATTTGACCTACTCTTCCATGCTGGCCAGATGTCTTGAAGGAGGTGGGAGTACCCACACTTTACCCCGCTACACACGAACCGCCAATCGACTGTGATGTACAGGGACAGGGGGAAAGGGGGGGGATTTGAGAAACCTGCCCCATTGCTTCAACTTCTGCTCCGAGAGATGGAATCGAACCGACGAGCCCTGGATTGTAAGTTCAGTGGACTGCGAACCATGACAAGATCGCAGCTTCCCCTGCAATAAGGAAACGTGTTGTTTTTCACCTTCAGCAAATAATAATATGAATAAGGTCATACAATGTTATTCGAAATAATTATATAAAAGTTTTTCACTACTGTTATTTTTATCGAACGTCTTACCTTGGTCGATTGACTCACACCTTTGAACACATCTGCAAATTAAATTGTGTTTTTTCTTCCAACATTTTGGCGAAATCACATATTCGATCCCATTTTAGTTTTGTGCGCCATGAATAATACGATGCGAATAATTAAGAGGGATGTGTTTTCTAATTTTCCTGGCCGCGGTGATAATTGGAGTTGCTACGGGGGGGGGGGTGGGGGGGGGGTCGGATTTCTCCAGGGAACTTCTTGCGCGAAATAGAAACGTCCGAGGTGAAGTGAATTTGTGTGTCCCCAAGTCCCGTCATTAAACTGCGGAGGAAAAAAGGAATGGTTACTTGAACGCATGCGCAATTCACAGGCACCTAACAGCGACCACATTAATTTTTTTTACAAATTACAGCAACTGCACGGGAAACGATAGCCGCCAACGCTGTTTAAAAGTATTTAGTCAACAAGGAACGATGGTCGGCGGTGAATGGGACGGTGAGAAAGTGGCTGCAGAAGGAAACGGAACGTGTTTCAGAAGGGCCTTCCACACCAAGAATGATGGAGCAATGAATTCACATCACGTGCAGTTGACGAGGTGGCTTATTACATCGCAGGATTTCAACGGCTGTATATTTGTTGAACTTCTTTCGCACTGGGCATAGCCAACCGTGCTAATCGGAGGTGGATTCATCCAGTAGATGATTGATCATGGCTGAAAACAAATGAAGATTTACGGTTCTAACGGTCACGTATTATTTTTCTACCCCCCACTCAAAAAGCTTTGATGGATGTCTATTTTAATCTGATTTGCGGAATTATAAACGGTCCACAGGTGCAAGTAAAATTGCATTATTGCGAGCTAATACGTCTGGGCTCTCTAGCTGGCGAATTGCCTTCACTCGTAAAACGTCGCAGTGGTGTCGAGATGTTAACTACCTCGCCTGGTATACGGGGAGTTTGTCGGTTCGATCTTGACCCTGGCGATGCCTGTATACTTGGAGTTTGTATGTTGCTTCCTGTGGTCGAGTGAGTTTTCCTCCGAGTCCTCCGGTTTTTCCCCTCTGCATTTAGAAACGTGCGTTTAGAGTATTTTGGCTGCAATAAATGTCCACTTGATGATAAGCCACTTCTTTGAGCTATATTTTGTGGCCAGGTTGCTTCTGATAAAGAGCGAAATAGCTCAGTGGGCCTTACATGGTAAAATAAAAAAAATAGTTGTTTTTTGTTTGTTGAGTTTATTAGGACAAGCTACCTCATGTGTTGACCGATGCGGAGATTATTCCACAGTGAATTCTGAGACAGTGCAGCTCGTGAAATTCAGTTGACTTTTTACAAACAAAAACTCTCCATACTTCTGGTTGCCATGGCTGCCTAACAGGTAATCGTAGCCTCGAAAATCGTAACGCGAGGGGAAAAGCCATAACCGTGACCTACGAACTATATTTGTCCTGTACCACACGGGCAAAAAAGATTCGTCCTGCAAAAGGTATTTTCTGTTTTTTTGGCAGATTTACGCAAATGGTATATTATCACAAGAAACGCCAGTACTGTATAGTCAGAGCAAAGGCAACATTAAACAATATAAAATGTACCTTTTTAATTCCTGAAAAATGCCATTTCAATAGACTATCTCCGTTCAATGTTGAAAATGTATCCCAATTGCATGCGTATGCCATTACTGGAAGACCTACCGACGAGCACATCCTGCGGAAAATTCAAATTGATACGCGGGTTAACGGATGTTCCACAGATTTCTGTAGCAGCTGCGCTGCTTTATAAAGGTTATCGTTGCAAACACAGGTGTAACAAATGATGATGAATTTTAGGGAAACCATTTCCTTTGGTGCCTCCGAGCGTTAGGCAGGTAATACGTTTCCGTAACGTCCCAAAACACAGCGCTGCAGGCTACGTGCATGTAATGATTTATTCATGGGGCGGAGCACGAAGTTGTTATCTCACTCGACTCGATAGAATTCGGTGGCAGAGCAGGCAGCGTTGATTGATGATCCGGCACTCACTGATTCACTCCAGCCACTCGCTCACTCAACCCGGGCAGTCAATCGCCTCCCTATCACTTTTCTATCGCCGCTCACCATGGCTCCTGTTCACGTGAACATCACTCCGTTAATTCCTCCACCCTCGTCAATGGGCTCGTTCTACCAGACTCACGGTTTGATCTCATCCGTGCTGCATTACGCCAAAGTCAACACAATGATCAAAAATGACTGCCTTGAAAGACAGAAATATATATACTGGATGTAATCGGCACATTTTTTGGTCAAAGGGCCTTCTTCATAGCACAGAGCAAAAAAGGACCAAATCCTGAAATGTCACCGATTACACGTGTATATATATTTTTATATTTTCAGGCAGTGTTATTGAGGAGTGTGTTGAATTTGTTGTTTGTTAATTGCGCTTGTGCACCGCTGCCAATGCAACACCACCAAACAAATTTGTGTTGCGGCAGTGGAACTGCGCCCAAAACATCTCTCATTCTGTTTCTGTCCTCGCACCGCTCCGCACTGGAATCCCACCGTCTCCTTTCCCAAGCCCTTACGGAAAACTTTGCTGTTTTTTTGGCCTGGATTTTTCTGTTGCGTGTAGTCACTTTAAGATGTTTCATGTTTTTGTTTTGTTGCGGTTGCACCCGAGTACAAGTGCCGCATGGCTCACAGGGTTAAACCTAATAAACGAAACTGAAACGACCCTGCTCAAGTCGAGCCACGTGCGAACCATTATCCATTCCGCCTTCAATGGCGCCACACGCTTGTGGCCGCTTGGTGCGTTGGGACTTGTGTACATAGCAACAAGAGGTAGGTTGTTCGTACGGCGAGTGGAAGGCGCAGAGCGGTAAACCATCCCGTGTGAGTGTAAAACTACACGGCTCATTGCTAACGCCCGTGCGGCGTGCGCTCATACACGGACCGCCACACGCCTAAGGCTTTAACAGCGATTCAACATTTTTGTTGTTGCAAAGGAATACGTGAGCGCCATTCTCGTTCCATCCTGTGCTGCCACACAGATAGAGGCATGGCTATCGAGTGCGCGGCACGACTTCGTGTGTGTGGGAATAAGGTTGTGGGGGGTGAAGAGCAGAAATAGTGGGGGGGGGGGGGGGGGGAGTATGCCAGCTTGTTGCAATTGTTCGCGGTCAGAGCCCCGTGGCCACCCTGGTAAATATTGCGGGTGCATTAACCATAGACATGGGCCATGGCTTCAGTGGGCGTTCACGATCCCGAGGCTTTATCTGAAAAAAGTGCAATGTGTGCCAACGACACGGTCCAAATGATCCGAATTAGATAATTTATTCGCAATTGGGAAGACCCACGTAGTAAATTAACCCTCTACTGGCAGCCTATGTCCACTTGCAGGCCGTTGCTGCGCATACCTGGTGCCTCACAGGGACAGCTGCCACTAGGAGTCCCCGTGGCTAGACTCCAGCAGGGCAATGGAATGGCTGAGATGAGACGCAACGTAAGGCACTTTCAGTTGGCGAAGGCCTACAAATGCCAACCCTTCTCCTGACCAATCAATGCCGATCCACCCCCCTCGACTGCCTTGCGCAGCGCAACCCCCACCACCCCCACCGCGGTGGTGACGGCGGCGGTGGCGGTGACTCCGGCCCCCACGTCAAAACTTGTCGGCGTCAACGGAGCCGTAGGCGCGCACGGGCGACACGGAGCGCGCCCGCGGCTCGTGCCGCTGGCCCCGGTAGCCGGCGCGGAAGCCGCCGTGCAGCCGCTCCAGGGAGCCGTCGAGCGCCGCCGCCGTGGCCACGCTGGCGTGCTGCGCGCGGACGAGGCGCTCCAGTCGTGCCACCACCTCGTAGTCCGGCACGGCCAGCGAGCCCACGTCCAGGCCCAGCGTGCGGCCCACCACCTCGCGGAAGTCCAGCAGCTGCACGAGGGGCGATAATGGCAGGACGGGGTGAGGCGAGGTGGCGAGGAACGCGCGATCGTCGGCTTTTACGCATCGTCTCTCCGCCTCTCTGCCAGGGCTCGGTTTCTCAACGAACGCACTGCGTTGTTGCTGGTGCCTCTCCGTGTCTGTGTGTGCCGGTGTGTATGTCCGTGTATGCGTGTCGGCGTGGTGCTGGCCACCCACTCACTCGTGCGCCACAGGTGCCGGTCTTCATTGGTGCTCACTAACAGCACTTGCCCCAAAAGTATTTTAAGGCTACATGGCGGATCTTTGTTTATATTGTCTCTGTGTATGTGTGTGTGTCCACCAATAGCAGTGGCGGATATTTGAACAAGTCCTGGGGCTCCCCTACGTCAATTCAGCCTGAAATGAGTACCTGGTGCGTTGGGAAAAGAGAATGGCGGCTGGACATGGTACAGCCCAGCCACCCCCTCATGCGCCGGAGGTATACTGGATGCGGTATGCCGGGTACGGCAACTATTGCCCGAGTCGCTGAGCGGCTGGAGTAGGTGAAGTGTGGATCTGTCGTGCTCGATCTGTTTGCGTTTTGTTGAAATCAAGAGTGGCAGCCCTAATGTGGGCCGGAGGACTTGTGAGTGCGTGGAATGGGAGGAGAGCACAGAATAAAGAAAGATGACCAACAAACAGCCCTGTAGCGTCAGCAGAGGGGGGGTGGGGCAGAGGGCGATGGGTACTTCTCGGGGATCTTAGAACAGGGAGGGGGGGGGGGGCTGAATAGCGGTAAGGGGGGGTAAGAGCCAGAGCAGAATGCACAGTAGACACAAGCAGATTAGCACGGTTGGCTACGTACGGTGTTAAATGAGTTCAACATACGGACATAGCATGACTCATTCCATTCAGAATTTAACAATTGCTTTGGCGTCATCTGATCGAGCACCAATTGGGTCGAGGCTCAAGAGAAAGCCGTACCTTGGTGTGGACCAATCAGTTTCAAAGACAATGCATAGATTATCATAGTATGTTTTTTGTGTGCATTTTTACTGCAGGTATTGTGGTTAATGCAGACATGAATCCTTGTAAAAAGGTTTCAGATTTGTTGCCGGAAAAAAGGGGAAAACCCTGTTATTGCTTAACGTTTGTTTAGCATTGTCTGAGTTGTGCTCCCCCCCATCCCCCTGGTCCTTCACTGAATTTTTGTTCGTGCCCCCCCCCCTACCCTTTCCGCCGCTTTAAAAAAGTCACCCTGCAAGGTTGACTACGGCCTGGCTACGTTTCCTAAAGTCGGCCGTCCCCCAGATGAACAGGAGACAAAATGAAGAGCCATCCCTTGTGAGTGCAGTTAAAGTGATCGGGGCTCAACAACAAAAAGACGGACAAATTTCCACCGGATCGAAGACTGTGGTGTGTAAATAAATGTGTTGATATAGTTGCTTGGTGATGCGTCTGAAGCCGTCGTGTTTATTGTTGTTGTTGTGTAATGCCATAATCGCATTTGATGTTTATTTTGTACTGTCTGCAGTGTTTGCTGTACCCTGGGCTCTCCTCTTTCACGATGTCAAGAGGATGCAGCAAACCTCGGCTCAAATTATGAGCTTGCGTCAACTTAATCAGACGCGAGTCCATTTTTGCGTGCATGCCGGACATTTTATGTACAATTTAGTTGCTCATTATTTACACTCCCAGAAGCGCTGCTGTTATCCACGGTGATGTGGGGGGTCGGTATCCGCAATTTAACTCTACTGGGTAAAACAATTGCAGATAACGCCACGGACGATCGGAGGATCGACTTATTTTATTCATGAAACAAATGTGGATGATAGGATGGCATTCCACAGACTCATAGGAAGAGACACGGAGAACAGGAGGAATAGGGTTCACGGGTAATGAGTTTTTGCAGACCCTACAGTTGTCGCGAATAATAGAAGTTGCAGATAATAGGGCCACGGGTAAGAGGAGTTCTCCTGGATAAAAATGTGGGCTCTCACGGTAACATGCAAAGAAGCTGCCACAGTAGAATATACAGTGGGAGATGTAATTTGATAAATGATCCGTCCGCAACAAATCAAACTGTCAAGGGCTGAAAGTATTATGATTTATTTATATTGGGCTCTTCAATGGGTTGAGTAATCGATTCGTTTATGAGACTTCAACAGATAACACGACATTGCAGTTGTTATAGAAAAAGTCTCAGCTGTTCCCATGTGTGCCGCTGGACGGAAGGAGAATGGAGGGGCTTTGTGATGTTGCTTTTCGTTACCAAGTTCAGTCTTTCAAAGGCACCACGACCTGCTCTCGCCCATGTAATAACTACGACTGCAGGCGGTCTTATATAACTGCTCTAGATACACAAACTCTCAAGTGTTTTCAAACTGCTTCTTTTCAACAGGTGTCATCACTTGTCTGGCGAATTTGGTGCTCTTGAATTGGGATGTTGCTCGTACTTGCATCGAGCCCTACTTTTCAGGCTTCGTCGGGAAGTCCTGTCATTTTGTGCAGTCAGTTCATCGCTATCGTTAATCCGCACACTTTCAAACAGTGAAAGTGTCCTCGTTGAGAATGTTGCAATTTCCCTGGAGTTAAAAGGATGGAATTCACCCATTATAAACATGGTCTTCTTTGGTTCTTTCGGTAAAGTCACGTAGATGAGAATAAAATAATAAATTAATCAAATAAAATAACAATAAAATGATCACGACGTTTCGGCCACAACACAAGTGGCCTTCATCAGGTGAAGGGACGAGACTGTCTGGAGGACAGCGCTGTGTTGTGGCCGAAACGTCGTGAGAATTTGATTGTTTTATTTTATTTTATTAATTTATTATTTTATTCTCATTCTACGCGACTTTACCGAAAGAACCAAAGAAGATGAATCCTTGCAGTCACGAAAGCTTTAAATCGAAAAACAAACATGGTCCTTCACAAACTAAACACGCCCACAACTCGAGGCTCTTGCACACAACGCCCAGCAATGGGAATAATTTACCATGAAGCAGATCACGTTTCGTACGAGGGTGGCAGGCTTTGGAAAATAACACGCTCCCTGTAAAGATCAATATTTTTTTTACCTTTTACATTTTCATCATCATCGCGTCAAAAAAAAGTATTTGTTTGTTTGTCACGATCCCGACCGGGCGATCGGCATCGCGTCACGACACGAAGAATTCATTCGTATGTCTCCTAGAGCAGTGCAACCCTCCGTGTTAAAGAATGGCCCGTGGAAAGCAGATATCAGACAACTACCACGAAGAACCCTTCAAGGGACCTCTGGTCCACGCAGTAGAGGGTAGCGCTTTGCCAGACCGCCCTGCGTATGAGAGTATCGCTCGTCTCGTGCCAGTCAAACCAAATATTTTTATTCTTAGGAGCAGGGATTTAGCCAATTTACGTGCGGAACCAAATCCAACGTGATGGATTTTTTTGCGCGCAGTCATTTCGTGTACCGGTCTGAGACCATCAACTGACTACACTCGAGGACCCGGTTGAAAATCACAGCCAGCTGCTTGGCTTCGAACGCAGGACCTCAGCAGTGCCATCTCAGCTCTCCGAGCTGCTAAACAATTTTTTAAACCTGGTGCCACGAAGCTGCTATTGGCAATCGCGTACCTAATGCTGCACACGTCACAAACCCAAGGTTACAGTTCCAACATCTCCTGCGATGAGATAAATTGCACATCCGAAACTCCGAATCTCTCTGAGGCAAGGCTCTTTTAAATGTCTTTTTAAATGACTTCTTAGTTTAATTTCCACATTCGTTATGTGGGCTTAAATCCTTGCAGACGGCTAATTGGGTTCAATGGGCAGCGTGATTGACTCGTTAAAGTGATTATTGTACAGCTGTTGAAACCCCCACCCCAGTCCCTGATGATTCATATCAATACTTTAATCAAAATAACTATTAAGGGACCCTTTACTACACATGCAGGGATGGTGCTGCTCACACCAAATGTGGAGCACGAACAAAACATATGAAGTAATCTAGGGCTTCTGGCGAAACGCCCGAGGGGATGTTAGGTTTGAAGTGGGCTTGCAGACAGGTTGGTTAGGGTTATGGGTTAAAGGTAGGGCTAGTACGAGTGAATGCTCGGTTCATCTTTTCGGGTCATAGGTCAAATTAGTACTCTGCTCGTGGCTGGTTGGTCAGTCAGCTCGGGATAAGGCTTTAGTGCTATTGACTGATTGGCTAATTTTATTGCGTTAGTAGGTGAGCTAGTACTAGGCGCTGGTTGCTAGTTTGCTAGGCTTAGCGCTAGGAATAGAGTTCAGTTTAGCTATTATTTTTCTGCGTGCTTAACCCTCATGCGCATTCAGTGTTAGGCAGTGTATTTCTAGTATTTCGGTTATCATAGCGCCACCACTTTACAAAAGGGGGGTGGGGCTACCTGGGAGTGGGTCTAGGTGGGGTTGGCATCCACGTGGCCCCATTCCGCTTTCCCATCCTTGGGCTTCACCGGTATTCAAACAGGGGAAACTCCCCAACAACGACAACAACAACGACTTTCTTCTCAAGTTTCATTCACGTGGTGAGACGAGTCCTGACGAGGGTCACCCCCGAACCTCCCCCCACCGCACCCCATATTACGGACGGACGCCGAACGCTCTCGACCCTCAGTCAGGCAAAGCGCACAAGTGGCAACAGCGGCAACAATAACACACATCCACCTGCTTCTCGCGACGCGCCACCTCCTCGAGGGCACGCTTGACTGTGCGCAGCTCTCCCGTGGTGGCCTCGAGGAGGACGCGGGTCCGCTCCATCTCCTCCTGGGCGCCCTCCGCCGTCATGTCCAGCTGCCCTCGCAACGACGCCACCTTCCGCGCCGCCTTGTCCTTCACCTTCTCCAGGCGGTCTATTGAGCGACCCATCTCCGCGATCGTCTTGTTCTGCTCCAGCGTTTGTATCTTGATGGCAAAGAGGGGGGGGGGGGGGGGGGGAGTTGACGGAGCAACGGAACACACGTCGGTCGTGGTACGTTTAGAACCGAGCGAAAAGATGGTGGGTCGTGTGCGTGGTTCATCATTGGTGCAGCGGTGAACTCGATGCTCAACACAGGTTGCTGACGTGAGCGAATTTTTTTTTTACTAAACCATCAAATTAACTATTGTTTATTTCATCAGGTAAGGCCCATTAAGCTATACAGTTTATTTTTCAGATGCAACCTGGTCACAAATTAAGTGGCTTATCACGTGGAAATGTGTAGCAGCCAAATACTCTAAAGGCATGTTTCTAAATGTGGAAGGAAAAACCAGAGGACCCGAACAAAACCCCTCACGACCACGGGGAGAACATGCAAACTCCAAATACAGATGTCAGGGTCGGGATCCCACCCGCGACCTCCTGTATACCAGGCGAGGTAGTTAACATCTCTCCACCGTGGCACCCTATCGGGTCCACAGAAAAATATCATTAAACCTGTGCCTGCTCCTGCGAGCTCTTGACAGCTCCTTGGTACAGGCTCATAATATTTCCTATCTTTACGAGCATCTGTAAGCATCAGCTCTATGGTAGATAATATTCCAACTGAGTGTAATGACCTTTCCGTCAAATAAACTCTTTAAGTCCCTTCCAAGCCGAGTCACTTTTATCATAATGCTTTCCATCTTTGTTTTCGGGAGTCTCAGCAAAGTACTTATTTGGCATGATTGACCTCTGATTTCATTTTTGGGCATTTGTGTATAAGGGAGGGAACTGGAGAGCATGGATAAAACCCATACATACGTAGGGGATGACACTCAGACCCTGCACAAAGAGATCAGCATCACATTTACTATACTCTCCTGTCTTCTACTCTTTCATTTGCCATTTTATGGATAACAAATATCATAAAACGCAAAGCATCTTGTGAAAGCGTGAACCATTTTTCGAGTAGCTTCGATTGATTTTGTCTCATCCCACACTTTGTTGAACTACCAAACTGCAGGTCACAACAATATACTCACCCACTCACTCACCCACTCACCGCACTGCAGGTCAAAAAAACACTCACTCACCCACTCACTCACCCACTCACCACACTGCAGGTCAGATCACTTCTCTTCCTGCTTCTTCCCTCACAGTGCTCCACTTTTAATCCCCTCCTCCCCCCGTCGTCTCTTTTCCTCAAGCCCTCACAATAATAACCTTGCTCAAGTCAAGAAAGGCGTTACACTCTTATCTATGTCCACTCTGGCAGTGCCGTTTGACTTACTGGGTGCTTTTGGGGCCTGTGCTCAGCAGTTGCGGCTTTGAAAAAAAAGTGCACCGAGCTGCTTTGTGTTATTCTGTTTTCCAAATCCACGTGTACAAGGGCATCAACAAACGCAGTGATTAATTATTAGTTTTTTTCCCCCCTTCTGACCGACCATTACGTGCGGCTCTGATAATGGATTTGTGTTGTATGTAGTCTAAGTGTATGCGGTCCAATTGTAAGCGGTGGAACAAAATAATCCAGGCCATGTCAACAAAAACTGGGTTGACCTGAGAGCTGCATCGCGATGTGAATTCCACTTTATCCGCCAGTACATTACGTTGGCAGGAGTATAGAACCATTATGCTCCACCGACCTTGTATGGGCCTGTATCTGTCAACCACAAAATCACAATGGTGCTACCCCTGCCTCATTCAAATGACACGTGTATTTTTGACCATGCGCATACGATGTTTAGATCCGTTAATGAGCTGCCGTGACTCAGAACACAAACCAGCCAGCTCGCTTGCACATGGCAGTGAGCACATTTAATTTGTTTGCAATTATTTTGCCTCAACGGTTTG